AACATGTTGTTGTGATTACTTTTTCTGAAAATAAAAAAAGCATTACAGTAACAGACCTTATGCTTAAAACCTATTACACCAAATTGATTTAAATAGAAAATATGCACATGTGCATGTATATAAAATGTCCTCACACATGAACATATGGAGTAACATGAGCCGGGGGAAATGTAGAGCATAAAAGGCCTGATATTGTGTTGCTTTCTAATGCTGAATGTCTGTTTTCAGACACTCGATAAGCATCTGAATAAAACGAGTCTAAACTTTTTCGGTTTTGTTAGTTCTCTGTGCTTGTGCAAGAAAGAAAAGCTTCAAAAGCATCTCGGTACATTGCTCAAAAGGTCACTGCTGTTAGTCAGGTGCTTGTAGTCAAAATGGCATCGCTATGTACATTATCTTCAGGTATATAACTATAGACATGCGAATACAAGCTACTGTACAGTGGAGCACCAGCACATAAATATCTGCAATTTAAAATCTTTTTTTGCTCCTATACACCACATACACAAGAATGTCTGAAATACAGTATATAACAAAAATAAGAATGTTAAAACTACATCTCTCATTTGGTTCATTATTAAACTTGCCAAGACAGGAAGCACAACACAGGGTGGCATGAAAAGTCATGTACATGTTGGGATTAAAATGAACACTGTTGTTTTAAGCAAGACTGTCATATCACGATCCCGCAGCGTTTTTGTCAGTGAGTGGGAGTCTGGCACTGGTAACTACATATTCCACGTTTCCATACACTGGATTCTTATTTAGAACTAGTTAAAATTAAAATGGTTTTCTACATAAGCCTGTTTCCACCACTGGGGGGGAAAAAAAGTAATTGTGACTTTTTTTTTTTTTTAAATTGCGAGGTATAAACTCAGAATTCTGACTTTTTTAAAAAAAAAATTTCACATAATTCTAAATTTACACCTTGCAGTTTTTTTTTTTAATGTCAGAATTCTTAGCTTACATATTTCTCTTCCATCAAGGAATAATAATAATAATCAATTTAAAAAAAAACTTTTCATTCCTTGGCAGAAAAAAAACTGACACTTTATCTCATAAATCTAACTTCTTTTCTGGCAATTGTGCATTAAAGCAGCACTATGTACCTTTTGGCGCTCTAGCGGTTAATAAACAGAACCGCACACATCCCGCGGAAGAACATTCTAACCGGAGCTACTTCTCTAAGTTTATGTCTATGGCGATTCACGCAGGTATGTGTTACTCCGCAGCGGTGACGACCCGACCAGGCTATAATAGTCCAAATATAAGTACTTATTATAAGTGTACCGTAGTGATTCGGAATAAGACAAAAACGCGGTTCGGAAGATGAAATCATGATGTGCTCGCTCATTATATACATTTAGCAAATTTTGAACACAGACAAAGTTACATAGTGCTGCTTTTCTGACTTTTTTTCACATAATTGCTCAGAATTGTGAGATATAAGCTCAGAATTGCTAGAAAAAAAATCTGAATTGTGAGAAATATTTTTCATCTTGTGGTGGAAACAGGTTTTCATAATTTTCTGATTAAAAACTAGTTGAATAAATTCCTTTGTGTGCATGTGTGTATATTTGTGCCTTTTGTTGTTGGGGCAGTGTTTAAAGAAACATCCTAATCCAGATTCAGATTCAAAACTCTGTAAATTCAGTATTTTCATAATTAAGCATCCTTCTGTTAATGAATTTCCTTGTTTGCCAAAATAATAATAATAATAATAATAATAATAATAATAAAATACAGTGTTTTCTTTACTCAAAAAGAAAAAGAAAAAAAAAAACAGGAAGAGATCTGGTAACGTTAATCTATAACCCGCTGCGCT